TCCCTTAATTGGAAGTGGTCGGTTTATTTCTGCACCTGTAATCACTGAAGATGGTGACCCTATTCTAGATCCTATAGTTCTTCAAGAGTTGAATGCGGCAAAAGAACCAACTTCAGCTGGTCAAGTTGGTAAATACTTAATATGTTCCCCAAGTAGTGTGATTTCTCTTTCTCTTCCTTTCTGATGGAAGGGCTCTTGGATGCTGTATAAAGTGACGATCGTTTTTTTGGACATCGTGCAATTACAGGTCCATCTGATGGTTTTGAATTGGTGAAGGAGCATGACAAAAAAGTAATCCAGTGGAAACTCTCATTACACCAGATAGGTCGGTTATGTATACAGATTGCATGCACTTGTTTCTTATCATGCCAATCTATGTTTTTAATTCATCTGTTCTCCGGTTTTGGCAAGTCGAGTATTGGCTTGGGATGTACTATGGATTTTTCTTATAAATTTGGCAATCACTTCCTTCTTCTTTATTATCAAATTTAATTTCTTTATCTGTATGTTACATCTTTCCATCCTTGTTCATATTTATGCTAGGATTGGATGTGATTCGTACTGACCGGACACTTGTCTTTTATGAGAAACAAGAGAATCTATCAAAGCTTTGGGATATTTTGGCTGTTTATGCTTGGTTTGACAAAGAAGTTAGTTATTGTCAAGGTGAGTTATTGTAGTATCTTCTTAAGATAATTCTTCCAGTATTTTGGCTTCTGAAGTAGACTAAGAACTCATGTTTGTGATACTAGTTTGAATGTTGTAGTTTCTACTTATATCTCGTCTTTGACTTAATACCATGCACTATGCTAAAGTTGACGATAAGTTCTAATTGCTCAAGTTTGTGTACACTCAAAATTTCTACGCTAAATGTTCAATTCATAAATTATTCTTGTAAGGGAAGATATCCATTTATTACCAATTGTCCTTTTGTGTCTTTTCTCACGCCGGCGTTAATATTTTTGTCAATGTCAGGATTAACTTTATTTCCATGGGGAAATAATCCCTTTTATTTCCCTTCCTATCCAGTATTTCCTTATACATGATCGCAAGTTTATCTCTTATTTATTGCTTCTAGTTTGTGCTGAAACTATTTTAACATTTGACTATGACGAACAGGAATGAGTGATCTTTGTTCTCCCATGATTATTCTACTTGATGATGAAGCAGATGCATTTTGGTGCTTTGAACGTATGATGAAGAGACTGGTACATAACTTTACTCGGACTGCCTGTTTATAGTTGTGTAAATTGTAATTATCATGAATACCCGCATCATTTCATAACAGAATTTGTTTGGTTACCTCAAGTTGAATTCCAGTAACACTAATTTGTGTTCATCGATCCTTTCTATATCTAGCCTTGCAATTCCTTAGATTTTTGTAACTACTGTGGCTAATACGAAATGTTCTGTGCATTTTTAAAGAGAAAAAATTTCAGAGCTACTGGGAACTCTGTTGGAGTGGAGGCGCAGCTAAGTTATCTAGCATCAATAACTCAAGTTATCGATCCCAAACTTCACCAGCACTTAGGTACCACCTCTCTACTTTTTATAAATGCATCCCAGAAGTAGTCAGTGATTCTCTCATTTTATGCTTCGAATCTAGTGAAAAATATCATTGAATTTCCTTGTGATCTTGGCAACAGAGACATTAGGTGGAGGAAATTACGTGTTTGCTTTTCGGATGCTCATGGTTATGTTCCGTCGAGAATTTTCTTTCTCTGATTCGTTATATCTTTGGGAGGTAAGACTCATCTCCTGATATTTTTTCCTGATCTGAAGCTGTCATTTAAGATGGCTTTGCAATTGGACGCGTGTGAAGCCACTAGCAAATTCTAAATCTTTTGTTTGCCAACAGATGATGTGGTCTCTGGAATATGATCCTGAGTTATTTTCCATGTATGAAGAAGACCCTGACTTGACTGCTGAAAATTCTAGACGAGCAAAAGTTAAGTCGATACGTCAGTATGGGAAATATGAGAGAGAAAACATGAGAAGTGGAGGTAAAGATACAGAAGCTCCCCTCCCAATTTCTGTTTTCCTAGTAGCCAGCGTCCTGAAGGACAAGAGTGCGAAGCTAACAGAAGCTAGAGGACTGGACGAAGTTGTTAAGGTTGGTTTGACAATTACATAATTAGGTGCTATGTCTTCGTTACTTCTGTTTTCTCCTTTTAAATCCTGCTTTGATATGTTTTTACTTGAGTTGATGGTCTTTTAGAAACAACCTCTCTATTAGGATAACGTCTGTGTACACTCTACCTTCTCCAGACATCATCTTTTGCTTATTATTTTCAGATCCTGAATAATATTACTGGACACTTGGATGCCAGAAAGGCTTGCAGTAGCGCTATGAAGCTTCACAAGAAGTATCTTAAGAAGGTAACCTTTCCTATTGACGGATAAATGAAAACGTGTGTTAGCAAGATTACATTTCAAAAGACGGATTTCATTTATAAGTTCATCTACTGGTTAAAACAGGCAGCCAACACTAATAGGTAGTCGAGCAGAGGCGAGTACTATGTAATATTCTCACTGAACTTAACGACAACATCTTCTCGTTGCTGGCCAAGAAGGTATGACAAGAATCTATATTTATATATTTTGGGCTGGTCGATGAACATTAGCTGCTTTTGCTATTGTAGTTATGTTATGATGTGCTAAGACGTAATTGTTGTATTCAATCCAAATGTAATGTACAAGGACACACTTCCAAAGTTTGTACTATAATCTCAGGAACAAAACAATGTTCCATATTTGTAAGGGATAGCTTCAAATATATTATAATAAATATACTCATGTTTTTATAGACATTATAAATAGTCTAAAGTTATAGAAAGTACATATTGACGACTATATATTATGATAGACTAAAAAAAACAAAAGCAAATACAACTTATCTATTTATATTATTATGATACACTCAAAAAGTTAGAATATAACTTAACTTAAACACTGATTATTTAATTTCGATCGATTCAGAATCTCCTCTAAACCATCTCAAATTTTTAGATATAAAATCTTCAATATTTCGAATCTTTTGGTAAACATGGCAAAATTAATTTTCTTTGAAACTAATCCCTCTAATATAATGTCACAATGAGAGTAATAATAATAATAATATAAAAGAATTAAACCCCACTTCTCCTACCCCATTATTGGCTGACCCCTTGCCATTGACCTCAAAGACTTGAAGGTTTTCAATTGGGTGAGGAGGTGCTCTCACATACTCATTTATAAAAGCACTTTTGCCAAAAAGCAAAAAAAAATGGATTTTTCCCAGATCTAGCCCAAAATCTTTCAATAAAATTAGTGGCTTAAAATCAAATATTAATGTCATCGTTCTCCAATTGCTGAAAACCCCAAAACATGTCTGACCATACATGTTGTTATCGTTGCACCAAATTCATATTAACTGCAGGCTTAACAGCTCTCTTTATCTGGCTAAGTCTAAGAACCTCAAAACCATCATGCTCTTTACATAATTTTTACTTACCTGCCCTTAACATATCTGATCATTCGAACACCACAAGATCCAATCATACTCTGTATTTTCAGCTCAATTTGAACAACAAGATGAAGGACAAAGGTGTTCGTTACGACGAGATTATATTAAGCTTCTTCTACTATGGTACAAATACAAGTATCCCAATTGGTAATAGCACAATAAATGGATTTTACCAAGGCCATGACAAGAAAGCAAAGAAAAAAGGGAAACTGGAAATTCAGAAAATGGCTTGGGATGCTGCTTTTAAGAATGTTACAAATACATCAAAAGTGATTTTTAGGGTGGATTTGGCTACAAGAATAAGCTACAAGACTATTTTTTGGTTTAGCAAGAAACATAATTTTACTGTGGAAAATAGAACAATGGAAGTGGATAGTACAGGTAAATCAAGTGCACAACACATTCATTGCTATTTTATGGTTTTAGGTTTTCCTCTAATTGTTTTGGTTAGCTTGATTCTTTTGTTGTAAATAAATGACTGGCACTATTCAACTCAATATTTTCTTCCTTTTGGTTTCATTCTATCCTAGTTTGGATCAATTTTTTTATTGTTGGATAAATTATGTTTCGCTCATTTATGTCAATTTCATTTAAAAAAGATTTATTCATCTCATTATTTGTTAACTGGAAATAATTTCAACTTGTTTGTACAAATTGACAATAGTTTTAGTTATCTTTCCTTCTTTATAATTTTTTACCGACTTGTTTTATCGTTATGTTACTTTGACTTTATCAAATTCTTACTGACTTGTTTATTGTTGTGTTACCTTGACTTTTCAAACATATTAGCATATTTTTTTTCAAATTCTTTGCTAAGATCAAATGCTTATCCTCATGTCAAAAGTTACTAAAAACAAAATGTTGTTACTTAATAAGTCAACCGAGCAAGTATCATATCCGATCATGATGACGACTTGGGCTTGTGTGCCATGCCATTGGCAAGAGGAGGTTGGTATTATTCAACAATCCCTTCCGAAAACCTGTGTCATGCAAAATGTTGCTCTTGGAATCAAACCTACGATATATTATTTGTTAAGATTAAACGTTTATTATCCTGCCAAAAGTTATAGCTCATAGTAAACGTACAACTTTATTTCTTTAACTTTATGTCCATTTTTTCAATCATTAGTAAGTGGCTATAAAAGAACCATGTAGAATATGTTGATATCACAAGCCTCATCCTTTTTTTTTTCTAAGAATTATTCAATCCTTTCTCTTTTATATTAGCCATGTTGGCTTTGGGCCACATTAAATAAAGGAAATTGGAAAGTTAATAATTCGATGCTTTTTATGAAGAAATATTGTATCCCTCTAGGCTTGTCCCTAATTATTTACCTAAAGAAAGTGAGTACACAATATTTGATTTTGACACATTAATTTTTTTTTAAAAAAATTATCATAGATTTGGTTTGGTTTAGTTTTTTTATCAAAAAAAAAAAATCTAAATCAATTATGTCAGTTTATTAAATCTAAAAGTCAAATCAAATCACGCAAAATTATTTTTCTCGATTTCGATTTTAATCGATTCTTTTGACTTTTTTCGATTTTTTCATTTTATTACTATGAAATAATCTTTACATGATAGATTACTTGTATATATCCTACCAAATAATTCCTACGTTTTTAATTTATCTTTATTTTTAAATGGTAATTTTTCAATACATTTTCGTGATATCAAATTAGATTCAAGTGGTAACGTATAAAAGTTTTATTTTATTAATTATTCCTTTTTTTTATTCGACTATTATAGTAAATCAAGAGAGTTTTGCTATCCTTTTTTCATATTGCCTTTTGCGTTAAAATAACTAAATAAAGTGATAGTAGTCAAATCGTAGGATTTTAAAAAATTATTAATAAAGTTAAGCCAAAAAAATCCTGAATATAATGCCTTTTCTTTTCACAATATTAATTCACTTTATTTAAAAAAACAGTACTCGGTTTATGAAAATTCCAAATACAACTTGAAAATTACATTTCAAATTTAGAGAAACAACCAAAGCCTTGTTTTCACTTTTTTACTCTTTTTTTTTTCATCTTCTCATTTTTTTGTTATGAAATCACCCATTTGAATCATAATTCATATTCAAATAATATTTTATTTTTTTAAACAATATTCATTTAAATTCTAAATATTCATTGAAAAACTATAACAACACTATTCCAACTATAACTCTAACTTAACTTTGAAATTTTTAAATAATGTATTTTATTTTTTGTAATTTTGATGTCATCACCTCTTTCTTTGGGTCTCCAAGATTCATATTTGTAAAAAAGATACCATTTTTTTGTGGGGTGTCGATGATTTGATAAATTAGTTGTAAATTTATCAGATAGTACATACAATTGAAGGATTTTCTTGAAAAAGTTGTTGTGATTCTTAGAAATTGCTTAAACTGTGAATATCTGAAAATTTCAAACTGAAAGTATATGGATGTTTTGGGTGTTGGATGCATACGAAAGAGGATTGAAGAAGCAAAGGGGTATTTTTGATTTGTGTTTTGGGGCATGGGGATGAAGAACAATGATGGTGAAAAAACAGAGCAAAGATCAAAGTCAGGTAGGAGTGGTAATGGCTTCATTCCGTCTTCGTTTCGACTTCTTTCTAGGATTGTATCCTCTGGTGCTTCGACTGTTGCTTCAACGGTTAGGTCAGCTGCTTTGGCTATTGTGGACAGGGACAATGATCATGATCAGGTGAACTTTTCGTGCTTCAAATTACTTTGAATTAGTTAGATGTTATGGTGATTAGATTGTATTTTAGCAAAAGGTTGGAACTTTACTAGTAAATCTTGCCAATAAGTTGCTACTGTGGCCTAGAGGTTAATGAAGTGGTTGAGAGCCTGAGATCTTAGGTTCAAATTCCAGCTGAGATGAGTTACTGATACGGTGATACCTGCTGCAGGTGGGAGGTGGCAGGTATCTCATGGAATTAGTCGAGGGCTGCGAGAGTTGGTCTGGACACCAAGGTAATAAAAGTTTAACCCCATCAACAAGTTATAGCTGGATAATAGTTGTTGGATGGACTTCCAATGCTGAATGATGCTAGTTAATGCAGCAAATTCTTTATTTCTTGAATGCTTCACTGGTTTTTTTAATTTTATTTTAAGGTAACTCTGGAGAAGTTTAGAATTTTTTTTGTGTGACAATATTTGTTCCATCTAACAAAAGTTAGCTCCCTGTTAGAACTTTCCCGAGTTTGTATATAGTTTCAAGAATTATACAATATGCGCTTGTCAGTATTGTAGCATGGACAGATGTAGGGTACCGGGTTGAGTTCAGGGGAACCCAGTAACTTTTGTGCTAAACCTGTATTTATATTGTGAAATCTATTAAATATATAAGAAATATCTATTGGTACCCAATAACAAAGCAGTAACTTGGTTCAACTATAGTGAAGGAACCCACCTAAGCTTAGCTTGGTTCATTTAGGATTCCATCACTAGTCAAGGATTTAATTTAGTTATGATTCTTCATTTATGTAATCGTCATTGAAAACCTTAATACTGAAGGTTTCTCTGTATACGACTTGTATATGGAGGTTTCCCTCATCATTAATAAATTTTATACCTTTTCTTAAAAAGGCTTAATATAGAAAGGTGGTAAACAAAAAAATTGTTTCTTTGATGTATCATATATACATATATATATGTATATGTTCAATCTCTTACCTGCAGTGCTAAGAGGTGGTGGTTGTCGCATTGCTATGTGAATGCTCTTTGATTCTTTTACTAAACTTCCCAATGGCAATTATGGCGTCTCATATTCTTCTTCTGCCACATCAGGTTCTGTGGGCTGGCTTTGACAAGCTGGAATGTGAGGGAGGCATGTCTCGTCAAATTTTGCTCTTGGGTTGTCAGTATGGTTTCCAGATTTGGGATGTTGAAGATTCTGATAATATACGCAACTTAGTTTCCAGGCCAGATGGTCCTGTTCCTTTCATGCAGATATTACCAAAACCAATAGCATCAAAGAAGCACGAGGACAAATTTTCTGGTAGTCGCCCAGTTTTAATACTTTATACTGACGGGTGTTTCTCTGGGGGTAGTAACATTCGGGAGGGCATACGGAAACTTCATGACCAAGAAAGTACCAGTTTTGATCCCTCTATTGTTTGGTTTTATTCCTTGACATGTCACTCTTATGTGCATCAGTTGAAGTTCAAATCCGTTATTCATTTGGTTAGATGTAGCTCCCGTGTGATTGCCATTTTACAAGCAACTCAGGTATGTGTATTATATTATAAACTTTTGGTTGATCTGTTCTTGCTAGACATAGGTTAAGTTTTTCCTATTGCAGATACACTTCTTTGATGCTGCAACTCTAGATAAGGTATATACGGTTGTTACGAACCCTGTCATCACGGGTTTTTCAGGGTTCGGTAGTAAAGGTGTGGGACCTCTTGCATTGGGTGCCAGGTGGATGGCCTATAGTGGAACTCCAGTTTCAATTTCAAATTCTGGTCACGTCAATCCACAGAACCTCACTCCTTCAGCTAGTTTCCCCAGTCTGGCTCCAAATGGCAGCTTAATCTCTCATTATGCAAAGGAATCCAGCAAGCAACTTGCAGCTGGTATTGTGACTCTAGGGGACATCGGGTATAAGAAGCTCGCTAGATACTATTCTGATCTGTCACCTGATAGTAATTGTTCTCAATCTGGGTCTGCTTGTGGAAAGATATCAGGAACTGCTAATGTTCATCTCCCAGGTGCAGACAATGTCGGAATGGTACAAATTACTCTTGATCAACATCCATTATCTCACTGTGAATAGTGGTTTAAACTTGTGTCTTTCTGTGCCATTTCAGTCACTTGTTCCTATATCTGCTCCTTGTTGTGGACAGAATATTTCTCTCTCTTCCTCTTTTGAGTTGATACATGTAAAAGTTGGTTCTTGACTGACTTTTTTTGTGTTCTGCTGATTTTGCAATAAGTTCTTTCATATCATAATCAACTCTTATATTGTGGTTGTTGTGTTGTGCGTGCTCTCTTCATTTAGTTTGGATCTTTGAAAGTGATTGGCATTTGGTGCTTTATGAATACACAGTTGTGGATCAACATTTGACCTCTTTTTTGACGTCATGAATTTAGGTCATAGTCAGGGACATTGTTAGCAAAGCTCTTATTGCTCAGTTTAGGGCACATAAGAGTCCTATTTCAGCTCTATGCTTTGATCCTAGCAGTACTCGATTGGTGACAGCTTCAGTTCATGGTCATAATATCAATGTATTCCAGATAATGCCTATACTATCTGAAAACAAATCGCCTAATCCTGGTTCATCTTATCTCCATCTTTACAGGCTGCAGCGCGGACTGACTAATGCGGTAGGTGTAGTTTGCGTGCTTTCTCTTCCTGTTTAAATTATTTGTTTTTAAGGACCGTAAACTAAATTTTCCTTTTGGATATCTTAGGTTATAGAGGATATAAGTTTTAGTGGTGATAGCCAGTGGATTATGATAACTTCTTCCAGAGGGACTAGCCATCTATTTACAATTCCTCCTTCAGGGACGGTTAATTTTCAATCTTCAGATGCATTTGTTACTGGTAGAAGTAATGGCTCTAGTGTCTTGGAAAAACCTGCAGTTCATTGCACCTCGAATTCAAAAATTCCGCTGCTTAATCAACATAACATATGTGAATCTGATCCTCTGGTGACTCTTTCTGCTATTGGTCGAATAAGGAGTGGAAGTAATGGGTGGAGAAATACTGTAACCGGTGCTGCAGCTGCTGCAACTGGAAGGACAATTTCTTTTTCTGGGTCCATTGCTTCAGCTTTTCACCACTGCAATAGTACTAGACAATATGCAGATTCAGGCCTTCTAAAAGCAAATCATTGCCTGCTTGTTTTTTCATCTCCGGGCTGTATGACACAGTATGCATTGCGCATGTGTTCTGAGCTAGATTCTATTGCAACCTTTCCTGCTATGGGCTCAACTTATGAGGAAGATCTTGAAACAAAATTAGTGGTAGAGGCAATCCAAAAGTGGAATATTTTCCAGAAACAAAATTACAAAGAACGAGTTGATAATGCTGATATATATGGTGAATTTGGATGTTCTGATAGCAGTAAAGTATTTCCTGAAGGAATAACCAAGGGAAACAGTCTCTCTTCAGAGACTAGGGACACATTTATTAAAGAAAAGATAAGATCTGAGCTAGGACATCATATATACATATCCGAAGCAGAACTCCAAATGCATAAACCTCATAATCAAGTGTGGGCAAAACCTGAGGTACTTTAACCTTTGTACTTTAATTCAGCAGATTCACTTCCATCCTTTTTGTGTAATTGCTTAAATCTCCATAGTCTTATTTAATATGCAGGTAAGTTTTCGATCATTTGTCATGGATAGGATTCACTTGGATGACGAAGGTCGTGGAGAGGCTGAGGTTGAAGTAATACCAACTCGTATGGTTGAGGCCAAGTCAAAACGTTTATTTCCAGCATTGAACTTCACCATGGCAGAGGAACCGAGAAGGATAATGTTGGAACGACATGCCAAACGAGTAGTGCCTTTGTAAATGGTAGTGACAACACTAGCCTATATTATGTAAATGATATAAGAAGCTCCATGGAGACTACACAATCTAAGTGTGTAAATACTAACCTAGATATTACAGAAACTGTCACTCATTTAGAAGATGAAGCAGGTTAGTTGTTTATTTGAATTTGAAGGCAACGAAATGAATTGCAACTTTAATTTTTTTTTGCTTTTGTTAGTTGTTATCTATTTTGTTCTGAATTCAGTAATGCATGCTACTTCCCTTCATTACCTACGAGGGGTCCTTTGACAGAGTGTATTAACAAAAATAATGCATGCATTATCTTTGTAATTGCTATAATATACGACTTCAATTATTCTGCCCTTGTTTCCAAGTGTTGATTCAACTCTGCAATTGCTAATGATAAATCTTAAAAATTCACTTAACTATATTCATATTTACTTAAAAATCACTGTCTTGAAAATACACAAATTCCATAGAAATTTATTAGTTGACTTGTATGCCACATCACTAAAATCTTTAGCGGGTTACTTATTGGTGGCTAACAAAAATCATTTGGCAGCGACTAAACTACCACTAGTTAATGCTTATTCTTAATGACCACTACAAAATAGTCTTTTAGTGGAGACGAATTAAGTTGTCACTAATACTATCTTTTAGTGGCAAATACAGTCTAAAAGTGGCGACAATTATACCTTTTAGTAGCGACATATATAGCTTTTAGCAGCGACTATAATTGCCATTAATACAAGCTATTGTGGCGACATTTATAGCCTTTAGCGGCGACTATAGTTTCCCTAATACTTCCTTTGAGTGGCAAGATTTATAACTTTTAGCGGCGACTATGTTTGCCGCTATTACCTCTTTTTAGTGGCGACATTTATAACTTTTGCGGCGAGTACAATTGCCGCTAATACCTCTTTTTAGGGCGACATTTATAGCTTTTAGGCGGCGACTATAAGTGCTGCTAATAATTTCTTTTAGTGGCAGCATATATAGCTTTTAGCGGCAATAAGTGCCGCTAATAATTACTTTTAGTGGCAACATTTATAGCTTCAACTACGATTGCCGCTAATAATTAATTCACCTCATTGCAATAATAGTACATATGTTGATGCTTAGTTCATGCAGCCAATAGGTTATTATTTGTTCTTCCATGTTAAAGTTTTGAACCTGGCAAAGCTAGTACATGGACTTCATACTGTAACTGTTCTAGGAAGAACAAAATCTCGAAAAAACAATAATATCATTGCAAAGGATAGCTATCCTAAAGTTGAAATGATGTGAGTTGTAATACCTTGAATTGCTTGTGCTTTACTTTTTCCCCCTAACATTTGACACCAAATCTTTCAAGAACTTAGCTGATTTCGTGATTGGCGAATTCACGGCCATCAAGTTATACAAAACATTCTCAACTTCAACAATTGATGGCCTTGCTTTAAACCTTGAAACCACTTTCAACTCTCCATCTTCTTCGACGAACACATACCATTTCTCACCACTCAAAACACCATCTTTAACACATTTAAACATCACCCCTTTTCTATTACTCAATATCCCTCTAACTTCCAATCCCATAAATGAATACACAACCTCAAATGAACCTACAAATCCACTCAACTCACCAAAACTACTCTCTTCATCAAAACCCCATTTAGGATTAAAAATCACGACAGGCATTGGGTACAATGTATCAGAAATCTCCTTCATTACAGTCAATATTGAAGCCTCTGGAGCCATAAACACTACCACATCAGCAGAAATTTCAATTCTTGATGAAATATCTAAATTTTCAATGATGGGGTTTGAAGATTTCTTCTTTTCAAATTCTGCTTGTGCAGCTTGGGTTAAGGTTTGGTTAGGCCATAAAAGTAGAATCTTGATGTTTGGGGCTTTTCTTTTGATGGGCATTTCTCCAAAAATGTCAAAAGCAAGTTGGGCTAATGCAGATGGGGAGTCATCAACAACTGGAATTTCGACACGAAATCTTGGTTGTTTGAGTTTCTTGATTTTCCCTATGAGTTTGGGATTGTTAAGGGGTTTCTCTAAAGTAGTTGACAGAGAGAATTTTGCTTGAGAAACGGCATCTTCTTTAGTTATAGGTGGAGTAGGAGAAGATAGTGAACATTGAAGAGGTGAAAAATCTGACTTGGGTTTTGTGAAGAAAATAGAGTGATAAAGATTGTTAAGTTGTTGTTTTGATCCTAAAAAACTTAAGGAACTTGTTGTGTTCAGCTTGAACTGGAATGAAGAATGAAATTTTACAAGATTAGAAGCCATTTGAAGTCAATTCTTGTCCAAGGGAATAGAGTTTTTGCAAAGAAAATACTTGCAATTTTGGGAACACATGTGTTCATCTGGATAAGGCTATAGAGAAGCTTCAGTAGCCTCACACAACTTGATATTGTAAAATTCTTTGGTATCAAAATTAACAAATGAAATTATAAGAAGTCAACTTAAGGTCTAAAAATAACAAAAACAAAAGTTATTTTCTTGAATAGTTAAAAGATAAAAATAAATTACTCATTTAGTTAGTATCGTTAATGTAATTTTTAATTCAAAATTATATCTTCAAATAAAGAGAAGAAAAATCTAATTACTTATTAAATGTAATTCAACAACTAAGAGAATGTAATAACATTATTTTATCATTTAAATGAATTTAATTCAATTAATTTGTTTTTGTTTTTCACGCTCTGAAGATTTCCAACAAAATAATCTTCTCTCCAAAGAAAGGTATAAAAAAGAAGAGGTAAATTATCACACAGGTAACTCCTCATAAAAAATGACAAGTATAGTAATACAAAGCCCCATATGCTATTACTGATACAAAGAAAATACTTTATCCACTATACAAATTGGAGGTGGATGTTGTTAGAGGTAATATAGTTTCTCAGTTAAATATCAAACTGCCATACAGAATTACAGACAAAACAATTCTAAAAGCTAGAACGAGTGTTCCGCTAAAATGTTAGCCAATGCTTAGGCGAGAATCTATGGGACGCAAGCTAGTTTGACGCCTTGGGATCCCAATCTCACAAGCATTAACCCGTGCAGCAAATCGGAGTGAACACAGGGATTCACCCACAGATGGAGGATCCGGTGAAACATTAACAAACATTAATGTCTTCGAGTTACCACCTAGACAGGGCTGAGCAAAACATGTGACAATCAGCAGGTGTGTGAAACAAAAGGTGCGAAAATACACATCTGTTAAAATGACATTGGAAACATACAGATCAAACCTAAAAGTATTATCTTTACCAGCCTAGGAAATTAACCAGAACCATGTATTTTAACTAGGAGCTTGAATAATCATTTTTACCTGGAGAAGGTATGTGAGCTTTGAATTCCTAAAAGGCACATGCTCCTCTTTCTTTGCTAGAGCAAATATGACATCACTTAGAGACGATAGACTCTTATTGATGGCCTGAATGAAACTCGTGGATAACAGGGAAATAAGTTAGAAGAACATCTTGGGAAGTAGGAAGTTCTTGAAAAGAGATAGAAAGTGTGAAGCAAATACTTGAGTTTCTTTTAGCCGATCTCCAGTAGCCCCACTCTTGGATAGACGTTCACTTCCAGCGAGATCAATCAAATTGAGTACACCTTGTACTTGTTGCTCGGTACTCTAAGATAGGATGCTATTAGTCAACTGAAAATACTTATAGAAGAGGCAATCAAAATGGCATGCCAAATGTTAGGTTAATGTCCTCGAACCTCATTCACACCAGAAATTCTCAGAGTGAAGACAAAATGGCTCCTTGAAGACTGTTGGTTCATCTGAGTCTTCCCAACAGATCTACACAAAGAAGAAATATAACGATAACTCAATAGAGCACAGGTCTCACAAATTTTAACTCCATTTCAGTCCAAATATAAGAATACTTGAACCCGTAATATATATATAAAATGACAAGTGATCGCATATCAAACATATTAAAGGTACAAATGACAAAAAGAAGTGTTTTGCAGTAAATCAAACAGGAATAAAAAGACAATTTTATGCTAAGGCTGATGTGATACACCCTACATTTTCGTTGAGTTTTAAGTTCACATGCATGCTCTAAGTTAAAACAAATAATGTGTTTTATATGTTGGGAAGGTGTTCAGTGCTTACAATTTATCCAGGGGGTGATAGGGATGTAAAAAACTAAGTGGAATTTGATTTTAATGTTAATGGAAAGATGTCCAAAGTGAGCATAGCCTAACTTCAAATGTACACAACCCTTAGAAATTAAGATCACCTATGGTTTCGAAGAAACTTGTAGCTCTTGGGATCTAATTTCTAATGCTTAAAAGTTTCTTCAATGAGACGTCCGGCGCAAAGTTATGTCAATTTTATCCGTGTGTACAATTGAAGAAGGTTTACGCCGAATGATTGCATTTTTTGCTGACCCACTGGGTTGATGCTAGCCATTGAAAAGCAATGGCCACCATTAGAAGTTTAGAACCCTCCAGACTTCAAGCTAGGCATTAAAAATTTAATGCTAATTGCTAGTTGCTACAGAGTATACTCTTCTTCATCTTTCACTATTCATCTTTTATGTCCTGGGGCGGACCACGAACTTTGTTGGCTAAGGTCCTCACTTATCTCATCACATAAGAGGCATTAAAATTTGATGCTCAAGATAAGGCTTCACCAATTTTATGTTTGACAATACCCCCCACCCTCCCACCCCCTTCTTCCTCACACGTCTAAGGTGAAAATTCGTAATGATATTTTTACCTCAATTCACAATTCCACCACCAAAGTAAGTTAAATAAGGAGTTAATTGATTGTTAACACCTTAATTTTGTGATTTTTTCTAGAACTCAAACTCCACCCAACTTCTTCAAATTTCAAGAAGCAATGCTTTTGGTACCTTGAGGTAACCTATTCACTTAATTTGGTATATTGATAATAGAATGTAAGTAAGTTGATTTTGATTGGTAACCCATCTGGTGGAGGTTTTAGCCATGGCTCACCTCAAAGTGGATGAATGAGAGGTTTAACCATTTAAGTTTGATGCACAGCACTAAAGCTTCACCAATTTTGTATATAGATCAAATGTTATTTGGGGCATTGTGAAAATATGAATTGACAAGCGGGTACATCAAGAATGATATGATGTACGAGTGTTAAGAAGTGATTTCAGGATCAAGGTGAGTGGAGACCTAACTTTAAGAAGTGATTTCCCTCAATTAATGCTTGTTTCACGGGTTTTAAATATCTTAAAGGTTGTTCTGTGAATTCACTCTTATGGGGACGAGCGGGTACGAGTGTTACCGTGCTATAAATTTTATGACTACAATTTGATTCAACTGATACTTATGATAATTATTAAATAATTATGACTCGTGATACTTACATGAAATAAAAGTGAGATACGAATGATATGATGCTCACTTATGACTACCATGCACATTGTCAATGATAGATGTAGAGGTTAAGGATTCATTCAGCAGGAGAAACTTGGTTGGATGCCAGTCTTGGCCCCCCTAGTTTGGGTCGTGACAGATGACATACTAAATTGCTAGTAAGATTGAAGAAAATATAACCAGGTGTTTTTACCTGCTTTCTGCTGCCAGCCCAAAAAGTTTAGAAACCTGACTATAGCAATGAACATCCACAATTGTCAGGTCGGATACATGGGTATTGCCATTCACGTCATGCTTGATGGCATATTGCTTTCCTACATGTTCTGGTCGGGATGCATCAAAACTAGATGAATTTGATGTTGATAAAAGATCCCGAATAGTTTCATTGTAAATTTCAAGCATTGAGACCTGAAATATGGTGAAAACACTTTCAGAGAAAAGAAACAAATCAAATTGAGAATGAGCATTACAAACCTCCATTACTAACCTGCATTTTATAGTTCCACCCTTGGTTTTGAAGAGACTGCCTGGTCTCAAATACCTGCTCTAAAGAGCGTGGAATAAGCCCTTTCTGATTATCAGAGTCTGGCTTGCCCACCATTGTGTGAGTTTTACCGGAACCAGTCTGACCATAAGCAAATATGCAAACCTGAAAGGGAAAAGGGAGGGTAATAAGCTAACAATTTTTGTGAGGCTGCAGATAAACATTTGCTTTCTCATTCAGCGACGATTTGGAACTTTAGAGATCTAATCAATGTTTATATTTTACATGTAACACCAGTTAGCCAGAAACAAGGAGCACACAACTAAGGATGATACAGCGTATTGATTCTTTTGCAAGACTTAGACGTCATTTGCGGTAGGGCACAAAATTTAAACATATCTCACCTTATAACCGTCAAGAGCACTCTGTACAAGTTGGGATATCTCAACAAAAACATCTTCTTGTGAAGCCTCGGGCATGAATACTTTGTCAAATGTGAATGATTGTTTTTGACCTTAAAATAACACAAAGTTCGAAGTTCAATGTCAAAATAAAAACTAATTAGAAGAGGAAACACACAAATTCTTGGTGGTTGAGTGCATTAGAAACAACTGCACACCATTTTGGATCATATCGATGCCTCTTCCTTGTGCTTCCGTTGAAGTTGGAAAAGAGATAACCTTTGTTTCTGCACTGACAGCGTCATTGGACAATAATGGCCTCACCCTGCAGAAAACTCTAATGTTGCCTTTCAATTCCTGCATTGGCAGAAGATTCAGAATGAACATCTAAATTTTTAATCCAAAAGTCAATTTAAGGTAGATTCACATTAGTGATCATAAAGTACCAGAATAGTATTGTGCAGTTTTTTACGCAGTTTCTCTCCTTCAACAATTTTAGTTTCGGCATAAGCAAGACGGTTCTGCAAGTCGAAAATAACATTCTTCTGCTCTTCATATTCTTCTTTTGTCCTCACAGCAGACATGTCGGACATCTAACAAAGTGATTAAACATTTGAAATATTTGAGAAATATATCTTCTAAAAGCTCGTTGGATATTACACGGTAAATTCAAACAAACAAGGGTCATAGAAATGCTGTCACCTCAAGTTTTTTCTCCGCAAAGGCAAGTTGTTGCTGCAATCTCTTTATTTGTTCACACTGAGACAAACATGTCTCCTGCAAAATAATTCAGGAAGAGATTATTATCTGATGCACATATATCTTTGGGTAGATAATTATCTGATGCACGCATATATTTGGGTTTGCCTAGTTGAGATAAATCAAAACAGACAAACCTCCAGCTGATTGGTCTTTATTGCCATGCCTTCTAACTCGGCAATAGATTTTCCAGTGCATTCCTTATATTTTAGCACTTCATCTGTTAGAACCTGAACTTGTAACGATTGCTGATCACGATCATCCCTCATTTTTTGCAGATCTCCTCGCAAGAATCCTACTTCACTTGCTAAAGCCTCTTTTTGTTTGACAGACTCATCCTGAACAGCCTTACGAAATTGAAAGGCAAAATAAGAACACGAATTAGTTGATGACACACCTTATCTTCAGATTATAAAGC